TCTTCTGTAAGGTTGTGGTACCCGGACGGGCAGGCCGATTCGTGCAACAGCCGAGGCTGCTACGTGGCCCTTCCACCGTAATAACACCTAATACAAAAGGCTTATAATTTACTTTTCTTGAATTCACTTTTATCCTTTTATTAAAAATAATTTATTAATCCCAACGGTAGGCTAAAGTTTATTAATCCTAGTAATATAAACATTACAGAAAATATTAGTGCATCTGATTTTTAAGCACTTACCAACACCAACATTATCACATATCAAAGGTTAGATACACTGGTCATATATTAATAATAAAGCATAAAGACATCTTTTCAAAAATTTTAAAACATTTTTAAACAGCACTTAATTTTTAAACTGTGATTTCTAAGTTTATGACTTTTTCATTACGAAATATTTCTATATTCAACTGTGGAAGAATCACGCAACCGTCTTCACTGTTCGGTGAATGAGTAGGTAACGGTTAACGAGTCCGAAAGAGATAACTACGACCTGACTGGTCTAAGACAGACTGGCGTGAAGTGGAAGTTTCATAATTCTGCGTTTCGTCTGGTGAGGTAGCCGGGGCCCACTTTATTAAAATGTGGTAACGCATCCGCGACCCTTCGGGTGTTACAAATGTCAATCGCCAGCTAGCTTGCCACCTTTTCACGTAACAAAAGAAAATATCGAATCTATAAAAGTTCTAACGTTTTTACCTTGATCCTAATTTAAATATTACTGAACTTGAATATTAACAACCATTATAACGACAAGCGGCACTAGTGGTTATATCACCGTCCGGGAACGCAACCGAAATCCATGTGACACTGCTCCATGCGATCATGTGTCCCTTGCTCGAGTAGATAATGTCATATCCGGTATACAGTGTTGCCAGCGCCAACAAATCTGGCAAGCTTTTTGTTGATGGCCTTTCATATGCCAAGTGTATTATTTTTTTTTTAATAATATTTTCCTCGACAGTATGCGAGTGCTAAAGTGTTGTACAGCATTTAAACAACCAAGTGGATTGAAAGCCGGAAACGAAGTGTATAATTTTAATACAGGCAATGGAGGTATTCCTCACGTCATATTATACAACAATATTATAATTCTCTTTGTTATTTATCTCTAATAATCTCATGTTCATCTCATATACCCGCGCACTTGTTTGCAATTTGCTAAAACTGTGACCCTTGGTAGACTTGCAAAAAATCTTTAAAATAACTCTGTATTTGCCAAAACAATAATAAAACTATTCTAAAATTATATCATAATAACAATACATCATCATCTGTATTATCTCCTAGCTTTTTTTGGTAGAGTTTCATTTTTTAAAATTTGTTACAATGTGAAAATAGTAATAGTGAAACGTTCAAATTAATTGTGTATTACACGTATATTTTTACTTTGCACGAGTTAGAACAAGTTGTTGTAACCATTCAGTATGTATTTATGTGTTGTTGAGATACAATCATAATACAAAATATGTGTAATGGGTATAGAGTGCCATTTACTGCCCGCATGATGAACGTATAAGCATTAAAACGCGGTAAATCTAGAACGTTATTTTTTAACAATAATTGAGCTAGAAATATTGTTACATCATTTAACACAAGTGTTAAATTGTTTATGTTTTTGCTAAATGAAGAGTATTAAAACATGTAGAAAAAGTACAAAAAGATTGTCGCCGCTGTTGGAATCGAACCCACGTCTTCGGCATTCGCGGCCTGTCGCTCTAGCCACTGAGATAAACGGCTGATAGCCACAGCGACGAAAATCTTAACGCCTTCTTTCTACATTGTTATTTAGCATTTGAAGCAATGCTTGGCGCATCTATTGTTATATCCTTTCCAGCATACAAACAATTTCGAATATCGTTTTACAACGATAATTCGAACGAGAGATGTCGCCATTGCTTTTTATAAATTTTAAAGTTTTTTTAGTGCTAATCTCTGCACTTAAGATTGAACATTAAAACATTCCGATTCCCACAGCGGCGACAATCTTTTCGTACTTTTTCTACATGTTTTAATGTTCAATCTTAAGTGCAGAGATTAGCACTATAAAAAACTTTAAAAATTAAGAGTAATTAACATTGGAAAATAAACTCTAACAAAATAAAAACAAAAACTAGCTTAGGTATAAAGACTGCTCTTTTTACGATTATTATATTCATGAACACGTTCTGAACTTGTATCAGTTTACGTACTAGATTTTAAATAATGATTGCGATATATGCGTGGCTGACTAGCGTGATTCAAACATTTACGCACAGAACAAACAAAGGTACGCCTCACCGGAAGCGGGTGTTGCCTGCAAGTGCATGGACAATATTTTATTTTTGTTGTAGAGAATACTTGTATAAGGACTCGTTCAATTTCTCCTTTGTTGTTTTAGTCATGGTATTTTTACACCGTTCAATGCATAACTTTTCCTTGTTTCGCTTACACTTGATGCTTAATATTATGATTTTAAACGTAGTGTGTTATTTCTGAGGGGAAACCAATGGTTAATGATTTAAGTAACTGTTATGAACTATCTCTATATCATTTATTTTAAACAGTATATAAATATTTATACCGAAACAACATATGCGTTTAAGTTAGCAATAGCTTAAACGCATTTTTACATATGTACGCTGACATACGTATATGTACACACATTTGTTTAATTATATCAAAATTTTTATTATCTTTTACATTATCATAAAATAAGGTGTAGCGTTTTTATTGAAAAAGCGGGTCAGTTAATGACCCGTGGCTTTGTCCAAACAGTTCGGTCCCAGGCACGGTGGCTTCCAACCGCTTCCACCCGTTATTCATTGGGCATACTAACCTCGATACACCTGTACGAATTACCATGCCTTTTAAAAATCATTGACTTTAATAGCTCACAATTATAAATTAAAATCTTTACGGTACTCGTAATTTTAATGTTTCATCGTGCGACAGCCTCGCTCTCTTTAGTCAATTTAGATATTTTTATAATCACCAAATTCGAAATTTCGTTGTGTTCGTAACACAAATTTTTCTTTGACGACCAAATGTTAAATGTTTTAACTTTCTCATTAGCTAATATTTAGTTTGTTTTTTGTATTATTAACTTTGTACTTTATATGCTACAAATAAAAAGTGTTTCACTCTATTTGCAAAATGCAAACCCATTATCACATACGCTTTACTTATATTGAAAGATTTATGTTTCATCTTAGGAAACGTGTAATTTTTACGTCACGTCAAAAGCCGTATAATATATTATTTTAATTCGTAGCTCGTAGCGCTACAATTTATATTCAACCTGTGTATTACAATACGTCTAAAATAAAACGTTTGTAAGTACTCGGTGCTATGTGCAAATAGTTGTGTGCGCACGTCAAACAATGCTGTCAAGCAATGTCAACGAACGCTGCCCGCGTAAGTCATATAAATGTCCGCGCAACCGAAAACCAAACCGTAATCAGGTGTGATATTGATTCATATTTACTATAGGTTACAATTTTAACTTTGTCGTGTTTTCAATATTGATTACGATTCTTTGACATGATTCTATGTCGACAGTTTTTAATTTTTAACTTTATACACACAATACTATGACAAAAAATGTTTGACGATTTTCCGAAGGGACTTTAATAACAATTTCAAGACGACATTATCTGGCCGTTTGTTGTGTTAAAACGAAACTGGTCTACGTTTACATACGTTAACTAACAACGCACAGAATACAACAATGGAGACGTGTCTGAGGGTATTGACTGCGCCGGCAGACGAAGTCGAGAATAGTGTTCCCCGTAACGAAGTGAGAGGAAACAAAGGACCGCGGCAGTGCAATGCCGTACCAGCCAACCCATGTGCCAGCGAATTGTGATTCTGGGCACGTGCCAGTAGCAGCCGCCCAAGGCTGGTGATACCTCGGCGTCTACGACTTAACACAATTTGCGTTCGTTCGTAGCAGAGCCTTTTTCAAAAGACCCCGGTGATGTTGAAAACAGATGACAAACTGACCTGCTAAATGTAAAAGCGCAGTTAAAAGCATAACAATAAATGATTAAGGTTTATTAGTACGATTCAAAATTATTTTAATGTAATTGTTTTTTGTTTTTTTTTTTTTTTTTTTTTTTTCACTTTAAAACGTAACGTATTGAAAATAGACACTCTATGAAAAATTATTTGAATATTCTTTGTTTTTCGTTTTCATTTTCTAGAGGGGTTCTCTGGATAAACTGCAGATGGGATCCAAGGATATCGTAAGGAATGATTACTAATTTATTACAAATGCAGGCACCATAAGTAGTCCTCAAATAGGAAGAGTTATCTTTTTCTGTCTGCAGTTAAGTTAGTTAATGGCAAAAATTAACAATCACTGTAAACGAGTAACTTCCTGGGTTTTCACTTATTATTTAACTAAACTAAAGCATGTGTTGACTAAAACATCAACTCACTACAATATTACCTTTATTCACAATACGCACTCTAAAAATTTAATATAGAATTAACAATAGCCCATATGGAATAACCTTGCTCTGTTAAAGAATTTTAAGAACATAATCAAATAATAAAGAGGAGTCTCAAATAACAAATTGTTAATGTAATAACGAAATAAATTAAAAGGATTAAAATAGAATTATTTTGCCCAAATATTAAGTATGACATAAACATTTAAAAATCCTAACGAAAAATATCGTTTTAGTAAGTAAACGTGCAACAACATTTAGTAATCTTAATTGCTTACTATAGTGTTATATCTGTTGCAGTCTTAATAGAAATGTGATAAATCCGTAATATATTTCTGTCCCCATATTTGTAAAACTCTGTTTTACAGAAGTGATTGATAAAACAATTCTAATATTTACTAACTCTGTTATCTTGCAAGAAATTTAAATATAAAGTCAATTAGACCTAGAACTCGAACAACTTCACTCGAACAACTTCTCTTTCAGATTATCACAAGTCCAAAATATACTTACCCATTGCATGACATTTTTATGTTACTTCTTATAACATAGCAATTTTTTTCAGATGTATTTAGCGCAGTATGGTTACTTGAGTCCTTCGGTACGGAACCCCTCCAGCGGCCACATCATGGATGAAAGCTCATGGCGTCGTGCCATCGCCGAATTCCAAAGCTTCGCTGGGCTAAACGCAACAGGTTGGTAAAATATCGTCTAATTAAAAAAGTTTAAAGATGGTGTGGTTTTAACAAATTTTTATTTACAACTTCGAGACAAAGGATAGTTACAATACCGCAATGCAATTTTAATTATGGAAAAATGTTGGCGAGAAAATTAAAGCGTGTAAGTAAAAAGAGTTTAGGGCGGATATATTACTTTGAGCTAGTTTCTAGCATACCGTCTGATTATAAGAATTTGTATAATCCAAAGCTAAATGACTCGTCTTAGAAGATACTGATTTTAAAAATGGAATGCCGCAGGCTGATGATGTCAATGCCACAGGAGGTAATAGGCCACAAAATGACCGCCAGCATACACGCAACCTATAAATCACACCGACAATTAGAGACAAAAAGCGTGTCACTGTGAAATTGTTTCTTCAAACAGTGGTATCATCGGATGCAGTTAATAAGTACGTCCAAAGTGACTAGGTAAAAGTTGTTACAGGCAATTTATATTAGAGACTTCTTGACTTCTCTTATCTTTAGCTATTTCACAACATTAACATTATAATTTCTCAGTTTTAATTAAAGTTAGTATATATTCAAAAAATTAAGTACTATGATATCTTTACATGTATATAATATTATGAGAAAGTGCATAAAATTCATTATATGCAGAAATTACATAGTTAAGTGCATTATTTTATCAGGACTCAGGGGCATATCACAATAAAGTCATTATGTAATCACATAACGCATAATTGTGGGCCGCGTATATATAATTCATTGTTGGATACAGCACAGGTTGTTTTAAGGAGTTCATTAAAAGTAACTTGTGTTATTGTATGAATAGAAAATTAGAAAGCATACGTACGTCATGAGTCATCAAAAGTATGGACGCATTATGGGAATATACTTACGATTAAACGAGTTCCCCGTTGTCACTCGCTCGTAACAAATAGAATTAAGGAGGAAAAAAAATCTGTATTTTTCCATCAGCTGAATAATAAATTAAATGTACGTGCTTATTTTGTGTAAACAGTCCTTTATGCTAATAACTACTTTACTATGTTTGTTATTAATGCGAACAGTGTGTCTATCATTTATGTAAATTAAACATAAATTAAACATGAATTTGTTTCATTTTCAGCTGACGTTTTACCAATGACCTATTTATTATTCTTTTACTAGCAGTACATAGTGCTTGTTTGTACACATCACTTTTAAGATAATCTTCAAATCTAAAAAGATCTTTTTCTGTCAACGCATTTTATATTTACTTTAAACCATCTTTGTTATTCTTTATTTGTTTCTAAATAAAGTAATTGCAAACGCCTTTTGAAATAGTGAGAAGATTATGTATTATTAATGCTTTTCAGGTGAACTGGATGACGAGACTGCAAAAGTGATGTCCCTCCCGAGATGTGGCGTCCGCGACAAAGTGGGATTCGGGGAGAGTCGGGCGAAACGATACGCATTGCAAGGTTTGATAATAAACGTATAATAAAAGTAACTATTAAAAAAATTTAGTAGTTTCTTCTTTTTTTTTTCAAAAATGGAATTATATTATACACATGTCTTGGTTATTACATCGCCTGGGATTAAATTCAGATAGAGATTTATGTTTCCGCAAATTTCTTTTTTTATTTCCGCTTATAATTCTGTTATTTTTGGTTATTAAAACTTGTGTTCGTTCTAATTATCGCTTTGCTATGTGCTAGAAAATAGATATAATATTAAAATAGCCCAAAATACATGTTGCTAAGACTCGGTGCTTTAGTACATATGCGATTTTCTTGGGAGTTGTATAAGACCTTATTATTTTAAATTATAAATGCGTTTATTATGCGAATCAACAAACATTGTCTGCATTTTATATCAATTAACTGTGACCTCTTATGACCCAACGATGTGGCGAGTACAATCACCTGATAAAGTGATAAGAGCTGAAAAATAATCAAGTAAAGTGTATATAAATTGTAAATGAAAGGTAACTTTTATTTACGAGTGTATTAGTCTTTGTTCTCACTGTAAGTGTTACATTTTTCACATTATCTATTTAGGTTCGAGGTGGCGTGTGAAGAACCTTACGTATAAGATCTCAAAGTACCCCTCGCGTCTGAATCACGCAGAAGTCGACACCGAGCTGGCCAAAGCCTTCTCCGTTTGGTCGGACTATACTGATCTTACCTTCACTCAGAAACGTTCCGGTCAGGTGCACATCGAAATTAGGTACGTTGCTCGCAGCTGTCAATTTTGTTCAGTCATAAGTATTTTACTTTTTACCCGACTGCGCCAGAAGAAGGGTTATTTGATCGGTATTTTATCCTGCTGTTATGAATTCTACGCGCCTGTTTGATGAATAGATATTCATATTCATTCATTCCGGTCAGACAGACACCGGAGTCTTAGTAATAGGGTCCCGTTTTACCCTTTGGATACGGAACCCTAAAAACAAGCCCTTGTTTTTGGTGGATATATTAAGATGTTTATACTTGTAAATAATCTTTTAACCGTCTGTTAGCTAAGTGCCATCTAGTTTAGATTTAGGCCATATACATACGAATCTAACTTAGATTTAGGTCATATGTACCTACACATTATTTTCTGACGATGACACCTAGCCAAGTCTAGCTAGCTAGTATTTTTATATAATTGTTATAAAGCGTCTATTGTATTTGTATCGTTTTAGTTAAACTAATCGCTTTAACTTTTTCAACGTGTTGCAAACTATCTCATATTTTTCATCATTACGTACAAAAAGGTTGATGTCATAACCATTTTATATTTTTACAATGGTAATTTGCGTTGCGTAACCTGACAATAATGATTGTCACTGACTATAGAGGTACCTATAGAAGTTTCATATTTTATCTGTATTTTTAAGAGTGTAATACATTAGGAAGGGATAAATAATAAAAGAAAGATTTAAAGGACTTTACTAGAGACGACTGTTTTATATTATTATGTTTTACCTGTTTAATAATTTTAACCTTTATCCATATAAAAAATAGGGAACGTCATAGAAGAAATTATTATCTCGCAAAATAAATACTGTTTGTTTTATAATTTTTAACATTAAAAAACCAACTTCATAACGGTGACTAAAAAGCATTGTTCCTATAACATTTGACGATTGCCTACAATTTCTCTGGGATGCCATCATCAGATCCGAGTTACCTTATCATGGTACCACCCTTGGGATATCTCCTTTCCAACAAAAAAAGAATCATCAAAATCGGTTCATAAACGACGAAGTTGTTATATATAAGTAGTCGAATTGAGAAACCTTCTTTTTTGAAGTCGGTTAATAAAAAATAACTAAATTTGACTTCGAATGTATAATACCGTCTTTGATTACGGAGGTATACAATAGCATAGGTATTGAGAAGTTGTCCTCGTTTTATTAATTTTATGGATTTGATATTCTCAATAGTATTTACCAATAAGTTCTCTGCTTTCCAGTAGTTTCATTATTTTTTATTAACAAATAACTTTTTAATAATCATCATTTTCAACTAACTGAAATAATATGAGCTCTTGAATTATGACAACGAAGGAACGTCAGCCTGACGATTGTTTGTTGTCTCCATTAACAGAATGTCACGTTGTTAGTAATTATTATAACGTGTGAAGGGATATTACTGCAAGTTTTTATTTATCATGGACAGTGAATTTTTATAACTGATGAATAAATCTTTTAAACGTTTTATCTATTCTTAAATTTTCTAGTAAAACAACAGATAGTAACAAAATCATGGAATACACTACTGTACTATTACCATTAATGTAATTATATCGTTGTAGATAATAGTGTATTTTTGTCATAAACATTACCTTTCATGCGCTTTAAATTCGAAAATCCATATAAAAGAAATTCAATTTTGACGTATGTACTTCTTTAATTGTTGTTCTTTTAAATTGTTTAAAATATATGTATTGCAATACATATATTTTAAACAATTTAAAAGAACTTTGTACCATATTTCTTTTAATTAGGTTTGAAAAGGGAGAGCACGGGGATGGTGATCCCTTTGACGGACCTGGTGGAACCTTGGCTCATGCTTATTTTCCTGTAAGTATTGCTATATTTTCATCAAAAAATTAGTAAAAATACATGAGAGCAATAACGCGGGTAATAGGTAAATCTAGACCTGACATGATTATAATTATAGATCAAAATATTTTTGTACGTGTTGAGATCGTACCCGCCACGTGGCATGCAATGTGTTGACCAAATTGAAAATGGAAGTGTTACGCCATCTGTCCACTCAAATATATATGAGTGTGTTATTGGTATAAAAAGTTTTTACAAACATTTCTTTAACATAATATATGACTTTCACTTAGCGTAGAATGTATACGTTAGGTGCGAAATTAATAAATCTTCCATTTAAAGGCAGTTGCGGAAATAATAAATCGCCGCATACAATGTGAAATAGTAACTCATTTCTACAAACCTTATTGTGTACATTTTGTTAACGTAATTCGTTATAAAGTTCGTGCAGTCAATGCGAATGAAAGCGTATTTAATGGGAAATGAGAAATATAGGCGTAGTCGCTTTGTGTTCAATATTATTTTCATGACAATCAAATTGAGTTACCACAGTTACCTTATTACCTTTCATGTAATCTTTGATTGTGTATTTCGAAATTTTATTTGTTCACGTTCTACAATACTTTTTTTTGAATGAAAATGTTTAAATTCAATAAGCGATCTCAGAGGTATGGCAACATGAAACTAACAGCTATAAGTTGCATCGATTGTTGAATTTCCACGTCAACAACGTAAAGATTCCATGACATTGTAAAAGAAAACAATAACTAACACAATGAAAAGTTTTTATATCAGCCAAGTAAAAACAGGAACACAATATATTGAAAATTAATAAGCACGATTTTGCCTTACTAGATGAAATACCCATAACTGAAAATATGTCTTATTTTCCGTAAAAATACAAAGGAATATTGAAAATTTAACTCAAGTTTACTATGATCAAATATTCGACATTTATAAGCGATAAGTAAATATAAAAATGTAATTTTAATCAGGTATATGGCGGCGATGCTCATTTCGACGACGCTGAAGTGTGGTCCATTAATTCAAGGCGCGGAACCAACCTCTTCCAAGTACGTACATAAATTAATAAACAAATGTGAGAAGTTAATACTCTCGTTTTTTTCACATATTTATGTGAATTTTACACATACTCGTATACGCTGAATATTTCGAGACATGGTGCGTATGGGAATTTGTCAATTCATTTATTTTATTTTTACATTTGTTAACACATGTAAAAACTTAAAATAAGACACGTAAATAGTTCTTCAAGGTTTTGTGCAAAGCTATTTTCTGTTTATTTCTTTAATATTTCCTAAATCAGGTTTTAACTTATCTTATTATTTTGCGTTATAGTTAACAAGAGAAGTTATAAATTTTGACAATTATATTTTAATTATAATTCAGGTGGCTGCTCATGAGTTCGGTCATTCGCTAGGCTTATCACACAGCGATGTCCGCTCAGCTTTAATGGCCCCATTTTACCGAGGATACGATCCAGCCTTCCAGCTTGACCAGGATGATATCCAAGGAATTCAGGTAATTAAAAAAGAATAATTCATAATATCATCATATTTTGGGTCAAGCGACATATTATAGTGTTGTGTATAATTTTACACTGTTGTAAATTGTATTTTAAACTTTTTTAGCTCTTAGGTTTCTTAAATTACAAATGTAGTCGCGGGTCGAAATCGCAATAATAAAACCTTGTTGCAGTTGTTAAACGAGGGGGTTTAGTCATTGCCCACCAAGGGAAAGTATTAGTGTAATCTGCGCCTTGTCCTTGATTCTAATGTTGAATCTGCATGCATACTATTTGCAAAACGCCTTAAAGGTGTAGAACAATCTTATCGTGAACAAACAAAACTTGTTATCTGCCCTCCTAGTTACGAGCGCCGACAAGATGACGACCAAAGTACGTGTCGTGCCCCTGTTTTAAAAAGAGCCAATATTTTTTCATTACACGAGGACCTCAGTGGTTACATAACACGTCAGTTCTACATCATCTAATATTACAATCGAGATCGCTCGTCAGTGTATTTGTTTACTCTTCTGCAACTGTTCAACGGATTTTAATGAAATTCTGGAATAATTTCTTACATCGTAAGAATTAACTAACTTTAAAATTTCTCGGATTATATTTTAATTTTTAGTTCTAGTTTTCACTCGAGTTGATTGATTTAAAATATGAGTTAAATAGATAAAGTGTCGAAAAATTTTCCGACCTGTCAGTATTCGAACACACCTCTGCTGGTTAACGCACCAGATGCTGTACTTTGAAAAGAAGCACGTGTATGACACCCCAGACAAATCCAGCAGTGAGATTCTAATATATATGCCATGTTCACAGGCGCTGTACGGACACAAGACTCAGTTGGACATCGGCGGTGTGCCATCCAGACCTTCAGCCCCGCGCGCCACCACGCCACCTTCTTCGGCAGAAGACCCCGCTCTCTGCGCCGACCCCTCTATTGACACCATCTTTAACTCCGCCGACGGCGCTACATTCGTTTTCAAAGGTGACATAAGACTTTAGGTGTTATACATTTATTTATTTACGGATTACTGTAAAGTCTTGGTATAGCTGGTGATTCAAACCATCTGCCATTCCCTAAAGAGAAATGGTTGTAAGCGGAATAAGCTGATATAAAGTATTTACTGAAATAAATTTAAAGAAACAATGAATTTTACAACAGTAAACAAGTAACAAACAATAAAATTTTGGGCATATCTAATATTCAAACAGCTAAAATAACTGTCGCATTAGTTGCGGACGTATGATGGTTTTAATTAGAGATCAGTTTTCATATAAATTCTATTCCCACATCCAAGTAGATGGAGATATAAACTCGGGAATATAAATTCTAATAAAAAAACAAAAAGTTCTTGAAATAGTTACGTTATGAAATTATATTTGTGTTTTTAAGTAAATTGTGTATAGGAAAGGGGCATAGGATGTGTGCAATCTGAGAACTCATATTATTGATTACTAATATGTATTTTTGTTCTGAAATTAGGTGTGACATATAAGTACAGGCTGGCTTTTCTAAGTGTATCAATTTTTTTATTTAATTCTGGACATTAATAATGTTATATAAAATGATAAATATTTAAAATTACTCGTAAGTAATAATTACATTCATTTGAACATATTCATTTGAACATATCTCAAAAAGTGCGTGATTTATAACGCAACTCATTTTACGCGCGATCATTCATAGCTATCACGCACACAAGTTCGTGGACAGCAAAATTTAGGTATTTATGAATGACTATCGCATTTTCAACACGTTCTGTTTTTTAGGGAATAGAATGGTATTTTTTTGGCAAAAAAAAAAAAACTGTTCTTTATTTCAATAAACGATTATACCGAGTCTGTACCTCCTGTATAAATTTGGGCACTTCTCAAAAAATGTATGTACGAATACTACATTATGAATACTGTGTAAATGAAACATTGTTGCGTTGACTCGGTAACCTGTTGCTAAGTTTATTGGTTTCGGCACTGGTTGTGGGTTGGATTCCCGAACGGAACAAGTATTTATCACCCGTAGGTAACAGTTCCGGATCTGGATTTTCGATCGTTCTAAAGCAATATTGAGTTTTTTAGCCAAATTAAATTGAAAAAAACCGGCCAAGTGCGAGTCGGACTCGCGCACGAAGGGTTCCGTTCCATTATTTATGAAAACGGCAAAAAAAAATCGGTTATGTTGTATGGGAGCCCCACTGAAATATACTTTTATATTTTGTTTTTTTTTAGTATTTGTTGTTATAGCGGCAACGGACAATACATTATCTGTGAAAATTTCAACTGTCTAACTATCAAGGTAACTAGGAAGGTTATGAGATACAGACTGGTGACAGACGGACAAACAGACAGACAGACACACAGCAGAATCTTAATAATAGGGTCCCGTTTTACCCTTTGTCTATTTTGTCTTTTAATGTCTGTCTTTGTGTATTACTGGACTACTACCATCCAAAGGATACGGAACCCTAAAAGACAGAGTTGACGAATGTATCATTGTCCAGGCGAGCACTACTGGCGGTTGACGGACAGCGGAGTGGCCGCTGGTTACCCGCGCCTCATATCACGCGCCTGGCCCGGACTGCCTGGAAACATCGACGCCGCATTCACCTACAAGAACGGCAAGACTTACTTCTTCAAGGGCTCCAAGTACTGGCGCTACAACGGCCAAACCGTAGACGGCGACTACCCCAAAGAGATAAGCGAAGGTATATCACTCTATTTGACGATACTCAAATGCTGGGAATCTAGAATTCTAATTATGAATACAATACGGAGTTATGTTGAATAGTTGCTATAATAATCAGCCTTCAGTAAAATCAACCCGAAGAAGTCATTCAGTAATTTGAAGACAAGAGGAGAGAAACACTCTAATAAGATTATTAAAGTAATAATAGTAATCTATGATTTTTTCATGTGAAAAATTTACAAGCGAGGAAAAGATTCACCTGATGTTAAGTGATTACCACCTATTTGATATCTACAACACCTAAGGGCTTGCAGATGCCTTGACAATCTTTAATAAGTGGGCCCCGGCTACCTCACTCACCAGAAGAAACGCTAAGTATAATACTTCCACTTACGTCAATCTTCTGTGAAGCCATGTTACTGCCTCGGCCGAGCCTTCCATTCATGGAAACTGTTGCAAATCTTAACTACTCACCTACACATTTCGGCTGTTAGACATTTGTTAAAATACTCTTTGGATTCTTTATTGTATTTATGATTCGTTAAAATATGCGTTAACCAGAATATATTGTTGAAAACTCTAAAGACTCTTTGTTTTAAGATTTAACCTTCGTCACAGGCTTCACCGGTATCCCGGACAACATAGATGCGGCGCTCGTGTGGTCAGGCAACGGCAAGATCTACTTCTACAAGGGTTCGAAGTTCTGGCGTTTCGACCCCGCTCAGCGGCCGCCAGTCAAGTCTACCTACCCCAAGCCGCTCTCCAACTGGGAGGGCATTCCGGACAACATAGACGCGGCCCTCCAATACACCAACGGTTACACGTACTTCTTCAAAGGATCTTCGTACTGGCGGTTTAACGACAGAACTTTCAGCGTGAGTAAATCCCTTCAATGGCGTATTCTTTGATTTATAAGCGGACTTAGCTCCAACCACCGGTCACTAAAATGAAGCGATTATGTGTTAAAGAATACAAAAGCTATCGATGAACTTAAATTATGAATTTCACAAGGGGTTGAAACGGATTTAAATTTAATTGCACAAAATTAAAGAAATTAAATTAAAGAAATTTAAACTTCAAATAATCAATTATATTGGTTAAAAGTGGCAGCTTGTATTGAATGTTACACACAAATTGTCGCGGACCCTTCGTTGAATAAGGATCCCTTCCGATTAAATGTGTCTCTTGTAGGGAAGAGTGTATAGTTTTTTACTGAGCTAGTGCGGTTACCACCGTAAAGAACATCTCTACTTACCATAAAGTGAGATGGTATGGTAGTGAAGCCCCTGCCGGATTTTGGGTTATTTTTGGATTATTTATAAAAATCGCTTCTGTCGAATGAAACTGGCCGGTTTTTGGGTAACAAAAGAAAACAAAATTAAAACTGTGCGGTTTTATGGTTTAAGAAAAGTAAACGAAACTGGCCGGTACTTGGGTAAAAAAAAAAAGTTAATGAACATTCCGGTACAGGTGGACACCGACAAGCCGGCCTTCCCGCGCTCCACTGGCTACTGGTGGCTGGGCTGCAGCTCGGCACCGCGCGGTACAGTCGGAGGTAACGCGCGCCTGTCCGCACCAGACGACGCCCGCCCGCCCTCCGATGACGACGTCGGCGACATACTCTTCGACGCAGGTAGCTTCACCGACGCCCAGACGCGATAGCTCTTGATTACGCCGGTTCTGTAAGATTTCGGGGCAGAATGTTGATGGAATAGTCTCAAATCTAAGGCTCATAAAGTGTTAGACAACATCATGATTAAATTTTGGGATCGTCAATCGATTTAAAATTTTGAAGTTTAAGAAATTATGGGGCCACTGTTTGTTTCTTTTTCACAATTAAAATTTCGTTTTATTTGTTTTATCCTTTCGCGAAAGTAGTGATCATTTTTAAGATTTTTTTTATTTCCTGTTGTGGTTTATTTTGTCTTTTCTAAAGATGATTTTTCGTGGAGAGATGTTTCAAGAGCTATCAATAATTCGTTTTACAGTTACAAAGAGGGGTTGACCGTCGCCGGCACCGTTAAATGTCTGCTCTTTTGCTCTTGTTTATGTGTGAATGTCTCTCATTAGTTTTGTTCTTGTTTTCATTGTGTTTTATTACAAAATACTATTAGTTTAGAACCACCTAATTGTTTTTCTGAATTTCTATAACAAGGCATTGTTATGCCGCCGTCACATATTTCTTAATTGAACGTATGTATTGTTTTTCATTGCTCTTATTAACCGACTAACAAATTTTCATGACTATTCACTTGTATAAACATCAGTTACTAACATTGTCCTCATTTTTTTTTATAAACACTATCCATTAACCCCAGTTAACAACTAAAACCTCTATTAATACGAGTAACAATTTTTTCGAAACTAATACGACACTGACATCCATCTTAACCACCCTAATGAAGTGTACGATTGCTTGGAGGGGCTTTGTTCGCAATTCCTGCTTTGTACGTTCGCTTGAATTTTGGGGCAGCGGTCAACGGTGAGTCCTGATTAAATGACGACACGGCTTCTGGGCGCCATTGAATCTACCTGCGTTTTCAGCGCGTAAATATTCTGCACATGTTAAGGGTTTAAAACTGTTGGTTTATTTATATACCATATTGAATGTGCTTAATATTTTAGCGTTCTACCACACATGACACAAATATTATCATAGCTTAACTTATATATTGCACCCACTTACAATAAAGAGTGTTTTTTATTGATTGCACCCTGGGGCACAATTTTATTTTGTCTACGGACAATGATTTGGTCGGTGCAACATGGACTTATTAGATGTTATGAAAATCACTATGGTTATAAATGTGAAAATCTGTGTTCACCTACACTGTTTAAAAGGATGTTGCACATTAAATGTTCTACACATTCTGTATTGGTACCTAAATGTCTGTCTGTGTTCGTCGCGACACGCGAAGGTGCATGGCAGACATTCACCTCGCGTCATGTGTGTTTGTCTTTCTAGGTGTAAAATCATCCGCTCCCAGATCATTCTTCTGGTTCAGGGAATAGCCTCGGTGGAGAGTTCCTGAACATTGTACATAGAGAAATAATAAAGAACAAAGACTCAATTAGTTTAATAGGAGAGCATATGAGTACCAGTGAGATTATAGAAATAAGCGGTGATTTTAGTACCGGCCAGCTTGTCACGCGCCACCTGTACGTTAAATTCATCTCACGTTTGCATGTTTATTTGCATGTTATGTAGTTCGCTTGAAGCTTCAGAACTAATGCACGCATGCTTGCTAGCTGGTTTAATACAACTTTTTAATAGTATAAGGTAACTATTATGAAATTAGTATAATTGGTACGTATTTATATTACTAATCAGGTCACTGACTGCAGCTTACCTTTTTTTCGATAATTGGGATATTTTTAAAGTTTTTAAAAGCCTAAGAAATACTTCATAAAATGTTCAGGACGCGGTTCACAACAGATTTCGGGTGTGAAAATAACCTAAACTTTCGACAACCTTTTATAAAATTGACGAGAAAACACCGGTGACTCCCTATTTATGTTAAAATATAAAGGTCTTCCACCTGTGAATATTCAACGATAAATAGTTAACTTTCACGTCTTCATGCTTTACGTAATAACAAACATTGATTTCTAGATACAAATACAAGAAAGTTGCGCCCCACTGAGCTTAAACTGTAACGGATGTCCACTGTTGCATTTCTTTCAACTTTCTATTACGTAAGAAACTTTGAAATAGTATCACGCAGCACTCAGTTTTACGTATACACGTCACCTTCAAAACAACGGATGAAATAAAAATACTAAAACAAGTTTGATATTAACTTGTATTTTATTATTGTAGAATACTAATAAATAATCGATATGTATTTTATTGTAACTAATACCACCAAAATGTGTGCATGCACATCGGAAAATTAAAATTAACTTGACTGAATTTATAACAATTTAAACAGCAAATTTACATAGTTATTCTATCATAATTTGGCACGACAATATTAGAATAAGATCGGTGCGTTAACACAACCACAATATTTTAAATAATATTGAGTATTTGTAGTTGCATGTGTTTTACCGCAAGTAGATGTACGAGTTTGTTACCGTAGTTAGAATCCGTGAGTTGCGGTGATCGGAAGTAACTTTTTAAAGGCGAGTTCATTTTTCAGTTGCCAACATTCAGTCAGACGGAGCTAGACTGTAGTTTCTCGTTACCTCGGGGCTCCGTTACTTAAGGAGGGCGCCTAGACGTCCTCCGCCGTGGCGTCACTCACCCGCATCGTAGGTTCACATTTCACTTGTTTTGCTACCATCCACGTGGAAACCGTTACGCGGGCGGGACCTCACGCGTACCGTGTTCCACGCATGCATTGATTTGACGTGCGCTTCTTATGTTCGTTTGCGTGTAGTGTGTTTAGCTTGGCCTGTAGGTTTGCTCTTTAAATGTTTGGTGTGCTAATAGCCCTATTGTGTGGGTAGATGAAGGCGAGAGGTCGGGCGGCAGCGGCGGCGTGTCGGCGCGGCCATCTTGGATCGCTGCATTGATAAGCGTCGCACTCTCCGCTCTGTTAGCGTCGGCGGCTGGCTCCTAGCGCCGTGCCGGGACGCTAACACCCCCTCCCCCCACTGTGATCGTGCCGTGCTGCCTGTCCACGTTCGGTATATTGTATATAGCGAATGTCCAGCTGTGATTGTGAATGCTTCTTTTTTTATACTGTTGTGAGAACGATAATTTAATGTGAAGTCATAGTTTTTATACTTAAAATAAATAGATGATGTAAGTTCGAGTGTGATATTGACGTAAGCGAACAATTTTTTAATGTATTAAAATATTCAAAGTATAGCGATTTTCATTTAACCACCTGTGACATGAGAAACCGGACATCGGATGAGTTGGGATAATTGACAAACAACTGTATTTTAATTGGTTTATTTAACGTTTTTCTGTGTTTTTTCCAATAATTCTTCTTATGTTAGTAATTACAAGTTTATATGACAATATTTTTCGTTTTTATTTCATTTTCATAAACGTATTTTTTTTAATAAACATCTCCACAATTCACCATAACACGGTCGTTCGACCTACTATCTCAATCGCTCTAACTCTTAGGAAAATGCAAATAATATTAAACTTCAAAATCTGTCTACAATTATTCGAACGTGATTAATCTTATTTCGAGTATCGAACGTTGCCTACGTGGCACCAAGGCGCAAGCGTAGCGTCCTTCATCACATGGACTATGTGCTACACGAAATCGTTACGCGAAGGGCTACGACTTTGTGGACGCGCCGTGCTACGCGGGGCGGCTGATATTATCCGTCACATATCGCCGGTACGCTTGCGCCTCAAACCCCTTTATATCATTTAGAAGGCATAACATAAGACTTAGTACACGATCACTACTCGAAAACACCTACGACACATCCTAGATCATATCAATATATTTATATTGCCCTCGTGCTGTGGCAGTGTTCGACAGCGCAGCGCGCTTTGTGCATACGGTTGCGTTTGTTTACGATTTACTTTTTACACTACTCTACCTTTCTCGCTATGATTAAAGATTTAAATAATATACGAATGGCCCGAATAAGTATTCCGTTTATCACAAGTCAGCGAATGGTGACTTGATTTGGAAAAAGTAAAATGGTCAAATGTCACTTGTAATTAATTCAAAAACATCATATATTTATATGATCTAGAACTTTGAATGATTATTTAATTCTTGTAAGATTAGAATCGAGAGTCCCTTTGCTCCAAATATAAGGCGAACGAGTCATTGATGTCGCACGTGAGCTAGCTGTACCAGTATGAGATACATTACATTGTGAAAGGAAATATAATTCCGTTTAACTTAACGTATTCTTTTGAACAACTATAAACTTGTATCTAGACCAACATAATTCTATCAAATTAATACAAAACATTTATATTTAGGTGGAAATGACACTAATTACATGCATTATACTAATTTATGAACAAACATCAAAACAATAAATACATATCAGCGACATACACCAACCTCCACGCAACTAAGAGGAAAGCAAATATTCATAACATTCGGTATACTTGCATTAATTGAACTCACTTGCTCCAAATACCAAATATCTTTTCGTATGAATAAACTTTCCTTTTAGCTACAATGTAGCTACATACAAAACTTTTCGTAGTATATAAATAATGCTTTTAATTAATAAATTAGATCTTAAGATAGTCTCGGGAAATGTGTACTACGTAAGTGAAACTTCCGGGGTATTTGTTATTGTAAACAACACACATTCTAAATGCGTTCGAATTCTAATTATGTAATTACGATTTATCATAAGACGTTTTAAACATTCCATCCCTTCTTATTTCACTAACTACTTCCTTAAAATTGAGAAGGCCATGTAGTTTGTTTGTTACGAATAACTTATTGAACCGTTTCACGTATTATGATTTTATGACTTATATGGTGAGATGTCAGCTTAAGGGTTGGCTCTCATTTACATGCCCTATCCACACATTTGATGTATTTTGACAGTATAAGTCGAGCTGTGTATAATATAGTCGATGAATTATTTCAGGATATTTTTGAATTAGTGTCAGGACACATTTATATCGTACAGTAACCAAATACATTCAGTTAAATTGCTTTAATTTGTTGTAAATATTTTAGAGAGATTTTTTGTAATATATAAAGATTTACGCAGTCACATAAATCTTGGTTTAAAATATTGTGTATTTCTTTAAAAATATTTTGTATTTCTGTGTTTTAATGTAATCCAAACCGATTAATGTGAGGGTAGGACAATAACTGTAAATTTATTCCTTGCCAACCTTTAATATAACACTGATTATCTTTTAACTTAAAAAATCCGACCACGTGCGTCCTATTCGTTGTTTTTAAAGATCAATCATGTTTCACTGTAGATATCTTAAAAAAATTTACAGCGTTACCATACCCGTATCAATTACACAGACGTAAAAACAGAATGAAAACTGCCTTCCACACACTACTACTTGGAACACCAAATTTGAACATAACAATTTGTTTTATATAAAAGTTCGCATAAAATTAGCCATCTCGCAAATGTCATCTTTATAAAATTATTGCAGAGTAAAAAATATCGTAATATCAACATGACCATCGAATTTCGTTACCATTATTAATATAATAAATACAGTATAGATTGATTACATATATTTGTATTAAGAAGACTACCTTTTGGTGTTTCCCTTACGCTATCTTAACGGTCGCGGCAAATTACATTTTCGTTAGAAAACAACTATGACGGGCCCCGAAAGAGACATCTGAACTGTTTTGTGCGTGTGTGTGACAGTCAATCGACCTGCATAACCTAAAGTGAAACGCTGGCTTATTGCATCTATAAAAGAACTTCCATAACCGAATCCGAACAATTTACAATGAAATGGACCTCGTCCGTATGCTAACAGCAAACGAAGCTATCGTGATGAAATGACACCGAACGCCGTGAATGTCTTTTAAAATTAACAGCATTACATTACCAAACAAACGATTGCTGGCAGCAGACGGTGCGCGTAAACTCCTATTCTCGTATCTCTAATCTTTTCAGTTTACCGCTAAATACATATTTTTTTTGCATGCCCACTCACATACAAAGAAGTTTTCCTCAATATTATTTGTGCGTTAAACGTTTACACTTTATTTATGTACATCAAAATATACGTATATTATTAAAAAACACAATGTATAATTCTATCACAAAACATTCAACGAAACAATAACTTCGACAGTATACACTCAATTTGAAGTAAAGGGCACGCATAGTACGAATTAAAGTTTTAAGTCAAATGTAGTAACGGTCTGAGAAATCGCAATTTGCAATAAAATTGTAAGATTACACGGCACTTGGTTGGTGTTAAAAAGTGATTCGACCCTAATAGCCGCCGATCCAGGTGTGATATTTCTTGGAGCTGGTATAATCAGTACTCAAACAAAAGCGGACTTTCTGACATAAATGTGTGATTAACGGAAGAAGACGAAAGTATATTTAGAAAGATCAGTTTGCTAATCAGCCATAGAATTATGGTTATAATGTAAGAAGTCTGTGTTAGTTTTTATGTACAAAAAATCCAACCATCGTCCTTAATTAAATCTACACCTGGACTAGCATGATATTGGCATTATTGAAACGACTCCTATGACTTCTAAACATAATTTATTCACTAGGTTTATTGCTAATTTTGTGCCCTACAAAATTAATTGATTGTCACATTTAGTTTAAGTGTCGTCCACCCAAGGGAATAGTTTTAGTTAATTGTGTGAAAGATCTAAGTCTCCTTCTAGAGCGAAAGTTTTACGATGATGGGAATATAAGTTCTAAATGAAGCGAATTTATAAATGCATACACAACGTGTCGAACTCCTCAATTTTGGTCTTTTATTCATCTACTCTAGTAAAGTTAAAACAGTGGACAAGTGAAGATTGTTAAGAGTGAGAGTAGAAATATCCAAAAAGAAGGAATTCACGGTCAATGTGTAAGTTTTAACGAGTGCTCGAAATTGTTCCAATTATGTTCTAATAATTCATTCTCTAACGCTAATTTTTGATAATTTATACATATACACATAAATGTTTAGAACAGCCTGCTCTAGAAAGGTAATAAGATTTCTATTGAATCTAACAGTTTAAAGGTTTAATGGAAACGAGGTATCCATTTAGTGAGACTTTTCTTTACATCTAGACGAGTTATTCAAAAATAACTATTGCACCATTAACATAGTTTTGTATGGAAATTAAACAGACTTCAACAATATTGATAAAAAAGAGGAACAAATTATTATTTCATATTAAAAAACAAGGCAATCATACAGTATCTTTCTCTACATTAATAAATAATTTCAAATAAAATATTCGTTGAATAGGACAGACATTTTTACTGAGCATGACAGAAAATGTTATTCAAATCTATTTTATATTAAAACACTCTTTTTAACTAATTTGTATATATATGTGCAATTGTAAATAAGATGGTGTCTCATTGTTTTATTTGTATCGTTTATGTAAAAATCGTAAGTAAAAAAAAACCCATGAACATAATGTTTGTATTGTTATTTTATCTTTCACAGTTAATGAAATAAGTGTATATTTTTGAAATTCTGTTTTTCACTTCGTGGTAAGTGAAGGCACTTTTTTGTGAAACAGTTGCACGATTGACACAATACGATTCATCTTTCCGCCTGTGTTTTATAAGATAATACTGGCCAATGGTTCTGCTTAATTTCGAAAATAAAGTCATTAAGTGATATGGTGACAACTATATCGTAATAAATCTTGTGTAGTGGTTGAATAAGTGGCAACGGCAGCGTCTACTGTCACCTATATCCTTCATCGCGCAGACCGTTTAATAGGTCCGCGCTACAATTCGAAATCGGTGAAACAAATAATAATCTAAGAAGCATTAATAGACTTTTAGCACCTTCGGTGGCTTGAGTTCATGTACGGGAGTGGAAACAACGAACCGCTTTTATTATATTTACACAATAAAAACGTAAAAAATAACTTACTTATTATTATCAATATTATTTGATTACAACAACTACATCCCCGCCCGAGGTCAACATTTTCAACAAATGCCCGTTCATAAAGTCTTAATAACCATTAACTTTTTTCATCATTGTTCATTGTTTCATCATTGTTTTCATCACATAATCATTAACGACACCTCAATCCTTTAATACATATAAAAATGAGAGAAACAAACATATATTTTTGTGTAAACTTTACGAACCATATGAGAACGACAGCGCCCACTTTAAAGGTCGTAAAGTCATTATTATATTCTCAATATGATATACATGTACAATAATAAATATTAAAAATTAATTGCCCTAAAAACATTCTCAACGAATTTACATCTGCATAATTTATCTCGCATGACAATTCATAAGACGGATTAATGCATATAATTTTCATTAAATGCATGTCATAATTTTATTCTTACAAAACAACGACTACTGTAATGTAACTCTAATGTATATATAAATAAATATTTATATATATATATATATATATATATATATATATATATATATATGGTCAATATTATGGTTATAATATAGACCAGAAATTTAGGCGCCTGCTTACGTTTAGACATTGCGACAAGAGGTATTTAATTAAACTTTTTTCGTAATCGAACGCTGAATAAAGGAATTTCCGATGTAGCCAAATGTGTCGTCCTGATTAACAGACTTTAACAAACCTGTCGCAACGTCATTTCTTGTGATGCAAAATTACAAAAATAACTTTCAAAAAACAAATATCAGTTATTAATCATTGGATTCATGCTTTAAAAAAAAGACTTCTGTGTAAAAAAGATAAACTTTCTAACCTCATCCATTTGTACATACATCAGCCATTGCAAAAGTCTTTTCCTTCATCACATAATAAATGCTGTTTACAACGCAATCTATGGATACTTTCAAATAGCGCTAACTTTTATTATTTTACATGAGATGTAATCAATCGTCCCACACGTATAAAAAGTATCACCATACAGACTACAATCAATGTACGCGTTTCACGGACGCTGTACGTCTTCCCATAGCACGTGTTCCGTGCCGTTCAAAATATTGCTTCTATGTAAACTATTTTAGCAAAAATAACAGAAAACGGGTAACGTGGCGCACCTCAACGGTGCGTACGATTCAACTGTAAAACACTATTTAAAATATACAAACATCTCCACTTAACGCAAATATAGTACTATCGTGTAATCGCGCCCGTAATTACTACTATACTGGCCGGTTTGCAGCGCTCACGACAAGACCCGTGACCTATCAGGGCGTTTGGTGTTAGCTCGTTCGGGCGTGTCGAACATTCGGACACATACGTAGACTTAACTCTAAATTAGCACCGGCGCGCTCACGGTATGGCCGCGAGGCGCGGGCCTCATTGATCAACTCGTCGCGCTATTTATTATCATAAGTACAGCACTAACAGGAGTCCGGTCCGTGGTCCGGCCGCGTGGCTTGTATGCGCGGCGCACGCAATGTAAAACTATAACCTCGAATCGCGCACATTCACTAAATTGGGCGCCGACTGTTGGGTCCGTGGCGCGAGGATTGTTACTAGCGGCACTAGGAGGGCGGCCGCCAGCAAGATGACTGATGGCGAGTCGGCGGGGGCCGCGCCGGCTTGGTAGGGCACAGAGCAACTGGGCGCCCGGTCCTCTACAAGCGAGCAATGCTCGGGGGGTGGCCGTTCCGGCTCCGTGAGCCGCGACTCGCAGCGGTAGCAGAGCCGCCCTTCGCAGTACCAGTAGCAGCACTCGTCCGACCCGTAATTGGATTTATTCGCCTGCGCACCGGTCTCCGGTATGCGTGCGTCTAGAACATACACACGTTTCGACATTGAAATTCCGGCTTTTGCACGGCGTTCAGGCACCGTGGAGATCCCCTCACTTCCACGGTGCCTATACACAAAGGTATAAAACATGTTAAAAGTGCTCGCCAACAGTTAGCCCGTCTATTTCGGTAAGGTCATATATTCGAATATATATATATACCGTATTCAACGTCTTTTGAAACTTCCATCTCTCTGGTTTAGTATTGCGCGATACTAATGTGTTCTACATTTATTGGTAGATATATAATGTATTACAAATAAAATTCCGAAATGAGCACTGTGCTTGTGCTCTACATCATAGAGCACAAGCACAGTACGTGTTGCTTAAACTCCGTTTCGCAAATCGTCGGAGTGCAAAAGGCTTTTAAATTTAAAACGGAAAGAGTTTAATCAACTGCACACAATAACGTGTACAATTAGCAATTAAGCATTGTAATAAAAGAGGCAATCTTAAAACAGCCTACGATAGCTCCGTGATCGGTAACAAAAGCGGGAGTCTTGGGGAATACAAAAGCAACAATTGGCCACGGCGTTGTTTGAAAGGGAAAATAAAAATGTCGGCGTTCACAGCATAGGCCGCTATTTATTCCAAGCTCTAGTTTTGAACCCCGGCCAAGCGTTGCTGGGAGCTAGTGGCGCCTAAATCATACCTCTCACACCGGCTGAACACGTGTGCACGGGGCCAATCGCGGTCTATTGTTGCTAACAACAATACGGGGCTACATAAAACGGTGCACAGGTTGTCGGCGAATTATTGCGCTTTCAGCAATGTGAAATGTTCGTCTTGTTTAGAAAATGTAAAATAAAAACAATTTTAGCATAAACTCATGTGAGGAATGAGTGTACAGTGAAGTGATATCTTTTTTAATTAATAAAGGTACTGTAAAGATAAGTTGTAATAAAAAAAACAATAAATTAAAATGAAAACAATAACTTCTTCGCTTAAGTTGATAAAACAAATGTAATCATTTTAATATTAAATGCGAATCAATGTGTCTGTCAATTTGGTTGATAAGAATGTCGTGTCAATAATGAGCTTGTAAATTGAAAATACTAAGCTATCATCTTCACATTAATGTATTGTAATATGTATGTATTGTGTGCTCAAAATTTAAAAATACACACCGAAAAATATGAAATTATAAATAAATATATACTAGGACACGTCTGTATATATTATTTCTCAAAGGTATTTTTCAAATAGTATTTTAACAAATATTAAAATGAAGTTAATGTTTTCATAAAAAAAAAACTTGTTTATAATTATGGGCACATAAAGAACATATGATAGTGACATCTATAGTTTTACACATTCTTTGAATTAAATTCAATGGTAGCGAACTAGACTGTTCTTCACAATAAGAAACCTTTTATTGATAATAATTAATAAAAGTAAAATGCAATAAGAAACCTTTCATTGATAAAAATTAAAAAAAAATTGATCTATTTGTTTACGAATTTTTTATTATTATTCAGTTATATATAAAACGATGTAAGCATGTTCCCTGTGCACTGTAAAGCAGCTGGACAGATTTTGATCACATTTCCTGTGATATGTTGGTATTCAAGTTTGGCAGCGATTGTACCAACAGAATGTTTGTCCGATAACTAGTGGTACCTATACGAAGGCGGGGCAGGTCGTTAGTGATCATAGAAACATATAAAAATCGCGAACACTTTACATACTCGAAGCGTGCTATAGATAATTTAATTAGTGGCGCACTACTGACCGAGGCATAGGAACGTGGGCTCGCCGGCGTACTGCGTGGGGTACGCAGGCGCGCGGTCCGCCGGCAGGAAGTAGGGGCAGTGCTGCTCGACCAGTTGGCAGACGGACAGGCACGGCTTGAGGCGGACGAGGGGCCTGCCGGGCCCGGCGGCGGCGGCGCGCACCCAGCGGCCCACCACGCCGCCGCCCCGCCGCCGGTCCAGGTGGCCCACGCGCTCAATGTGCCGCGCGTGCCAGCGCGCCGCGCGCTCGCCGGGCGCCCGCCGCGACCTGCCCCCCTCCTCGGCCCCCTCTTCGGCCCCCTCCTCCACCCACAGCGGCACCATAGTGCTGCACGCCCAGCGCCGGTACGTCTCCTGTAAGTAGCGATTGCACCGTTTAGCTGGCTGTTACAGAATCACTTCTGAAGGGCTGAAAACGCGTCTGACCGATTCCGGCCCTAGTTGCCAGCAATGGTCACTTGCGAAATTCACGGCACGAATGGACAGGTCCGTCTGGGGAACTATCACGAGCTCACAGAAGAACGGCGTGAAGTAGATGTTTTACACTTTTGCGTTTCATCTGGTGAGTGGAGTAATCGGCGGCCACTTTATTAAAGGATGGCACTGCATCTGAAATCTTACAGGTGATGTTACTGTAAAACTCTGTATAAGATCGGGTGTATGCAACCCTACAAGTATTGTAAACATACACGGGAGGCGGTTATCATTTAGAAAACCATGAAGAAAAGTCAGCTTCGACAGTGATGTCATCAAGACCTGATATCACCGTGATATGTTCACAACACACTATTAAATGACGCGTCTGCTTGCAGCGAACTCATTAAGCCGGAGGAGTAAATAAGCCCGTGACTCAATCACGTTTCAACGTCACGCTATATACGGTTTCGGCGAAGATGTACGGCGGCGGGGAAATGGAAATTTACGAGGTGCACGGACATAACACGGCGACGTAGCACCTCGCGGCAACAGCTGGCGTCGGCGCCCGACCCTCTTCACTTCTATCTTTGTACGGCATTTTTCACTCCCGCAGGAAATCAGGCTGCTTGCTGAGGCAGTGATTAATTAGCTATCCGGCGACCGCGGCGAAGCACCACAGCGAATCTGTATCGGATGCGAAGAACGCCGATTTTTATTACGGCGACGTGGCTAAATTAAAATTTACTCCAAGCGGCTAAATTACTCAACGTCGGGTTTTTTTTTAATAGATAAATGTGATAATTTTATACATAATTAATTCAACACATTCAATCAACATAATTTAAGACATAAATTATCTTTAAATTATTCACAATATTCTTAGGTTATTCCAAAAAGTAGGTAATTTTAACACCTTTTCCACCGTTTATAAACATTCTTAATGTTGAGCAAAGCGTTGAACGCAGATACACAAAGAAATATGATTCTCGTCTTGATAAAAAATTATAAAAGTTTAAGAGAGGCCTTTCTCTATTGCCTCTACCTATAATGAGTAGGAGAACTTGAGATGAATTAGTCTCGGTGCAGACACAAGGGTCCGCGAAGCGTAACTCGCTGCTTTGCCAAGTGACGACGTTTTGCAATTAAATACTTCCCTCCATCTCCCGCGTCCCCTCACAGCGCTCGCGAAGCGCTTGGCCACCATCTAATACACCTCGACATTTTCGAAGGCTTCTTAAAACCCAGAGCTTATATCATAATATTATGCTTTGCAAATAATACACTCTCTACGTCACCGTTAATTGACATTAACTTGATTTTTATTTACGAGTACCTTAACACATATTACGTTCTGATCATAACAGTTTCCCCATAGCAGTTTCCACTTGTATATTACAGTAGGCGATATGTTAGTTATGTATTATGTATATCATGTACTAGCGGATCGACAGATGTTATCCTGTACACATTTCTTAAATTCGAAAATTTCAAACTTTTTTAATAACTTTGTGAATCTAAACCATTCTTGACCTCCACCTGAATACACAAAAAAATTCATTAAAATCGGTTCAGCCGTATATTAGGAGTTCAGTGACATAATCACGTACAGAAGAATGTTATATATAAAGAAGATATAGTAAAATATTAGTAGTAGTTTAAGATCAAATAATTGATGCAATAATCAGTGAATAAACAAATTGATTCACACAAAATGTCGTAAAAATCCTAAATCGTTTTGCAAAGTTTATTGGACACAGGGCCTTTCATGAAGCCGTATGACCAAGTACATATTGGACAAACAGGTTGGAGTGGATGTGCCAATTAACGTCCAGCCTTTAGCGTAATAGCTAATAGGCCTTTAACGATTATTCGTTCTTCTAATCGCCCATTGACATTGGCTTCACGAAATTGCCTCTTGAAAGTGAGGTGAGACGAATAAGTAAAATTGATTATTTCTTATAATTTTTTTAAATATGAAAAAGATATCCAAATTGGTAGTTAGCTCAATTCGGACCAAAAGTGACAAAGCAAGTCAAACTGTATTTTGTTAAAGGTTGAGAAGACGCCCGCAACACCTCTGGTGTTGATTCTTTAATATAACAGACAAAGAACAGAAAGCTATTAATTTAAAGATTTAAATCTTTTTTTACACCTGTTGTTCTTCAAATGCTAAAAACCAATGTAGATAAAAAGACGTTAAGATTTTCGTCGGTGTGGCTATCAGCCGTTTAGCTTAGTGGTTTAAGCGTCAGGCCGCCAGAAAACATGGGTTCAATTCCCACAGCGGCGACAATCTTTTCGTACTTTTTCTACATATTTTAATATTAAATATTAAGTGCAAGGATTAGCACTATAAACAATTTAAATATCTGTTGTTGATCTAAAATAAAACCGTTTAAAAACTTTAAAGTTAAACGGTTTTATTTTATGTGCACTGAAAACTACATTATTGTATTGTCATCAAAATTAAATGTGTGTACCAAATTTCAGATCAATCTGACAACGGGAAGGTGCTTAAATTTCAATTTCTAATTTTGACCCAAATAACTAAACAAATAAATTCCGTACGGGTCGAGCTAAATAAAACCGTTTAACAAATGTCAGTCCTTTTTAAAAGGTTTTGTCACAGTGCAATAATAGGCATATACCATGATAATATAATAATTGACTTTGTCTTATTATTATGTAGTATTTTCATTTTATTAAATTGTATTCCTTTAGTCTTTGAAAATTCACTATTATGATGAAACCATACCATGATACTTGATACCGTATTATCACGGCTGGAACGTTACGATACATATTTAGTTTTATCGTTATTTTGCGTTAGGCTGCTAAATACACCAAGCTATGGTAACGTTGTTAGAGAGCCAAGATACTTCTGCATTACGACTCCAGCACGAGCTAGGAAACAATTTAATAGAATCAGGAACATAACTTTCCTGAAATAACATTCACCATCCACGTCAGTATAAAAGAACAGTTAAAATGAAATTCCATGGTCAGTATTTTTCGTTTTAAGTTTTCTAGATTATTTTATATTTATATTTATACACGTGTGTTGTATTTTAACTTAATGTTAGTCACATGATTAATATAATTGTAAATAAATTTGTATTAAGAAGTTCATTAACTTTTTTTGTGATGCTTGAAAACATTTTAGAAATAAATAAAATTAAAAGTTGCAATTACAATAAATGCTATCGAATAACAATCGTTACAAAATAATTAAATTAAAAAAAATGTAGTTCGGTGGTAATGATAGCGTAGATTTCTTAGACGGTTGATAACTAATACCCCAGTGGCTCATTAGCGAGGAGCGGTGCTGGATAAATCAAAACAAGTGTACATACACGACGTCGAACAAAGTTGTCTCAGCGGGCTGACGTGACGCCACAACGATACAACTCTATGACGCGATCCATCGCCGCGGTAGTTGTAAAAACTGTGAGCTTTTGTTCCCTAACCAGCTTATTCATTGATGGAAGCTTAATCCTTATTTCCTTACTAATGTTTTAAAGGCGAAAGTTTGTATGTATGGATGGATGTTTGTTACTTTTTCACTATATGCGTGAAAAAGTACTACCTAACCTACTACTGGTTTTTAATGAAACTACAATAATATAGCTTACACATGAGAATAACACGTAGGCTATAATTTATATACATGGTAGGTGGTAGGGCTACGCAGCAGCCTCGGCTGTTGCACGAATGGGCAGGCCTGTCCGGGTAAGTACCACGACCTCACAGAAGACCAGCGTAAAATGGAAATATGACAAATACTTTCGCGTTTCGTCTGGTGAGTGAGGTAGCCGGAGCCCAATTTTCAAAAGGTTGTCAACGCATCTGTAACCCTCGGGTGTAGCAGATGTCCATGGGCAGCGGTATTCACTTACCATCAGGTCAACGGTCTGCTCGTTTGGCAACTTTTCACATAAAAAAAAATATTTTATGTATATCTGTCTTTCTTTCTGATTGTTACGCCTTCAGCCTATTCTACGCAGACGTAGTCGCGGGCAGCAGCTAGTTTATTATATTTGAATGGACATACTGTGGCGTCTTTAAATATTCGAGCCGCAATGATGTATCAATAATTAGTCACAAATCTTATGCATTCCATCTTTGTTGAAGTTCAGATAAATAGTGTTCTTCACTTTCCGGTGAGTTTTTTAATTCGTTGTATGTGAAACCGTCGTCGTGCATTAAACTAGAGGCAAAAATGTGCGATCTGATACAGTTTTTAGTTAAAGACACGCTGATAATAATCAAAATATTTTATGTTCAAAATTGTTCCGAAGCGTACACAAGAAACAACGCAAAATTGGACCATCTGTAGTTGAATTTTAAATCAGAGTTAGTTCAGTGAAACTATTATTGTGATTCCATACATAATAACGTATAACTATTATTAAGTTTTAAATACCGGCTGCACAAACTAAGTGTTTCCTAACTGGAAGATAGGAAACACTTTGTTTGTACAGTACGCTAATTAGTTTTCGGATCTAAGTGACTTCGATTTAATTACGGATGGAGGAACGTTAATATTATCACTGCACCGTTACCATAGCGATTCAGGATATACGAAATCATATCAGTTTATATAAAAAAAAACTATACCTACTTCCTATGCTTTTACTTAATTTCAGAACATCTTTGTAAGATGTTACATAATTGTTAAGACGATAACATGGGTACGTACATGTATAATCTAACAATATAGGATGCAATTGTCAAGATATTTATTGGCTTCGGCGCTGGGCATATTTTAAATATAAGAAAATTTGTGAGCCAAGATCTTGAAAATGACAGACAAAAGAAAGTATGATATTTTCATTCACTTGCACGTGATAGTTCAGTGTCCGGGCGCTTGCCTTATAGTTAGTACTAGCGACTGGCCCCGACTTCACACGGGTGCAATGCTGATACTAAATATACTTTACTATGTTTCTCTACTATTTTATGCATATATTTTACATATAAAACTTCCTCCTGAATCACCTTATCTAGTATAAACCGCATCAAGATCAGTTGCGCAGTTGCAAACCTGCAAATTTTCGAGATCATTACAAAAAAAAATATAAGTCTTCCAATCTGCAGTGGGGCCGCATGGTGGACTAAGCCCTAATACCCTCTGTACAGAGGAGGCCTACGCCTAGCAGTGGGATATGTACAGGCTGTTAACTTTTTTGGCACGGTATAAAGTGGTACAAAAAGTAAAAGTTTAATGAAAGAAAGTGAATGATTGGTTAAATCGCAAATGAATGATGGACACATAGAGAAAAAAAGGAGGAAAAGAAAACTATAAACATCCATATTCAAGTACTTATAAGTGGGGTAGAAGTTAAAAAGAAAACAAAAGACGACTAATTTTTTCGTAACTACTTCTGGTAAGAAATACTTAATTGGTGGTCAATCTTAAACTTTATTGGTTTTTCATGCCCAATTTAGAATCTAATACAAATACCTATACACCTATATAATAACAATAGGTAATAATTATTACATGCAATTTAACAATCTCAATAGTGCTTTTTACTTTTTCAAGAAACGTTATTTTACGAAACGTTAATCTACGTATAGCCACTATGGCGTCGCTGG